GTAAAGAAAGAGGGCTTTTACAAAGCGGGAAGTGGTGAGACTGACTGAGACTACTGTGCCATTAACTGCCTGTGTTTCTGCTCCTCTGCCTTAGTAACCTAGCGTTACAGTTAGCTGTTCGCTAACCGTTACGGTGGGGTACTGCTGTTGACAAGTCTCATTATAACAATTTAGCTTATGCTGCTCACTGAATACAAGAAATATAGAACACTATTAACGTTATATTTCAGCGTCGTTAAATCATCCGTTGATTGTATTGTTCTAGAAAGTTTAAATGCACCCTAAGGACCAAAACACTGAGCTGAAATAATTTGTAACTTAGCTGCCAGACACAGATGACAGTACTGGAAGGTGTATTAATGTTTGACTGGGCTCAACTTGTAGTTGTTGTTAATTCCTGTCAATTAGCGTATATATATATATATATATATATATATATATATATATATATATATATATATAATGGGCAGAGTTGGATTAAATAGAAAGGTGAAAGGTGTGTAGTGGTGTTCATGTTTGCTGCAAGAACAAAGCTGTTTTGATATCACCAAAAAAAAAATCTAACCCTAAAAATCACCTTGACTGCAATGACACTGTTATTTCACATGTTTCCTGTGTTTATATTTTAGGGCTTCTGAATTGGCATTTGCTTTGGACCCTCTGCCCAAGGATGAATTACCCCCATCACCTCCTTTTACTGAGGTCTGTACACTGCCATGGCTTAAGGATTTTCTGGGTTTAATTAGTTTTCATATTCATTTCATATTTCATATGTGGGATCTCCTCAAAATAAACTACCTTGCCCATTTTCATCGTAATAAAGGAACATGTCACCCAGTGGAACAGTGTGAACATTAATTTTTTTCTGGTTTTTTTCTTTTGGACAACAGGGAGACATTAATCTAGGGATAAGAATTTGGCTACTATGGCTAACTATACTTGTTAGTAGGGTCATTTTGTTGTTCAGTTTTGGTCTTTTCACAGGGTTTGTTGACTGTATGAAGATAAAGAATATCACTAGATCTACCCTTTGACACATTAACTACAAGCAAAGGCATAATTTTGAGTATTAAAAAATTCTTCCATAGGGAAGAAATATGAGGTGTTCAGAAGTGGCGTATACTGTTACTACTTTATGAAAGCCTTATTGTGTTTTTCAATTAGATTAATCTTTATTTATCAGTTATGTAGTTGACTTGGTAAAGATGATTAGGATGACTTTTCTTTTTCATTGTCTGTCACAAATACAGCAAGATGCACAAGACCTGGATGCACTTACACTAGCCAAATCCTACTTTGACCTGAAAGAGTATGACCGTGCTGCGTACTTTCTGAAAGGCTGCTGCAGTCAGAAGGCTTATTTCCTTTACATGTATTCACGCTATCTGGTAAGATTCTGATCATATCAGGCATGCCAGCATCCTTTGATCCTCAATTTCATTTGATGACAAGACTGCTTTCATTTTGATTGTAATGCTTGGGAACCATTTCTGAAAGTTTCCGTCTGTGTCTTCAGTCGGGTGAGAAAAAGAAGGATGATGAAACTGTGGACAACCTGGGTGAGGACTTGTCTGTTTTGGACCTTTTTTTAAAAGAGAACTGAAAGTCCTTTTCTTAATCTTTAACACGGAACTTTTCGTGGTTTTTTTTTTGTGGTTTTAGGTCCTCTGGAGAAGGGTCAGGTGCGCAACGAAGCCTTGAGAGAGCTGAGGGTTGAGCTCAGTAAGAAGCATATTGCAGGAGAGTTGGACGGGTTCACCCTGTACTTGTAAGAACCTTTCCTCTAAAGTGTACACACTGCAGAGGAATACAGTGGACTGCTCATAAACTGTGTATATAAATATATGTATGTGGGAACACAGGTACGGGGTGGTGCTACGAAAGCTGGATCTGCTGAAGGAGGCGGTGGAGGTCTTTGTTGAGGCAATACATGCACTTCCTCTTCACTGGGGAGCCTGGCTGGAGCTTAGTAACCTTGTCACCAACATTGAAATGGTAACTGTCTTTGTGTTTACACATACACAAATTGTAGATCGCATTGTGTCCAAACCCAAAAGCAGTCCTCACAACACAGCCTCATGACTTTTAAACTATACTTTTATGTCTGAAGAACAAACCGAAAACAAAACAAAAAACTTGCTCCTAACCAATCAGTGTAAAGAAATGCTCCATCTGAGGTCTTTATATGGGCTGATAAATGATTCCATCTACCTTGGTCTTTCTCCCCAGCTAAAGTCCCTGTCTCTGCCAGACTGTTGGATTAAAGACTTCTTTGTGGCCCACATGTACACAGAGCTGCAGATGATCAAAGAAGCGTTGCAGAAATACCAGAACCTCATTGATGCTGGCTTTTCTAAGAGCACCTACATCATCTCACAGATTGCAGTCGCCTACCACAACATCAGAAGTTTGTTTTCTACCTTTTTCAAAAACCTTTTGTCTGAAATTGAATGTTACGGGGACAGGTTACTTCTTACAGTTCTCCTGTCTTGATTCATTTCAGATATTGACCAAGCTTTGGCTCTGTTCAATGAGTTGAGGGAGCAGGATCCGTATCGCATCGACAACATGGACACGTTCTCCAACCTGCTCTACGTCAAAGTGAGTGATACCTTATTGATTAACATAGAAGTGTGTGTTGTCTTGTTTCACAGGGAGGTTAGAGGTCTAAATTATAGCAGCCAGTAGGGCAAAGTGCCTTGCACAAGAACAAGAAGCTTACTGGCAGGGGGCTGTGTTATATTATCTTAATTTTTTTATTGGACCTCTGAATTATGTCACAATGGGGGATCTAAATAAAAAACTTTGGTCTAGAACTGACTAATGTTCTTATAAAGACCTGTTTTTAGATGTTTTGTTGTATTGTTGATGCCGTTGAATGCTTCCACAGAGCATGAAGCCAGAGCTGAGCTACTTGGCCCACAACCTGGTGGAGATCGACAAGTACAGAGTGGAGACGTGCTGCGTTATCGGTAAGTGCCGCAGTGATGGAACAGTTAGTTGACCAATACATACGGTAAGCATGAATTGACAACCTCACAGATGTACTGCTTGCTTTTTTCCATTTAATGTCCTATAAACATTGTAATTGATGTGTCTCATCCACAGGCAACTATTACAGTTTACGCTCTCAGCATGAGAAGGCAGCTCTGTACTTCCAGCGGGCCCTCAAGCTGAACCCTCGCTGCCTTGGCGCCTGGACCCTCATGGGCCATGAGTACATGGAAATGAAGAACACTTCGGCTGCCATCCAGGCCTACAGGTCAGGATGATGGAGTTTTTACTCATTGCCAGACCTTTCACAGCAGTGTAGAGGAATTATACCAGATTATATTGTCGTTACCATGTTTTTCCTTGTGTACAGGCATGCCATTGAAGTGAACAAGCGGGACTACCGTGCCTGGTATGGCCTGGGTCAGACATATGAGATCCTCAAGATGCCCTTTTACTGTTTGTACTATTATCGAAAGGCTCACCAGCTTAGGTATGGAAAAGGTGTTCATGCAGGTGTTACTAAGAATGAAGTATGCTCATAAACCAAATGGTCGTATTTGTTTTGACATACTGTGATGTCCTTTTGTAGGCCCAATGACTCGCGCATGTTGGTCGCCCTGGGTGAAAGCTACGAAAAACTGTCGCAGCAAGTGGAAGCCAAGAAGGTGCGCATGTTACCAACCTGTCAGTGATTCCTGGTTTGTGTAATAAATTCATTTTAGTTTTTTATTTGGACCATAACCTATTCTGTTTTCATCTAGTGTTACTGGAGGGCATACTCTGTTAGAGATGTAGAGAAAATGGCTCTACTCAAACTGGCAAAGTAAGTGCATCCTGAGGAAATACATAAAAAATCAATAAAACAAAGTAGCTCACGCCACATGTTCTTTAACGCTTAAGCACAAAAGGAAGATCTGATGTGCAGCTTTTCTCTGATGTCAGATATCATGTTATCTGCATGACCCAGAGATAATGGGTGCTAAATGTGAATTTTTATTCCTTTGGCAGACTCCATGAACAGCTGAATGAGTCTGAGGATGCTGCCCAGTGTTACATGCTTTACATCCAAGACATTTTCTCTTGTGGGGTAAGGATTTTAAATAATGTTAATTTTTGACACCTTGGTGACGTAGTCGTTTAAAAGAAATCATTTCTAATAAAATGTCATCATCAAAGGAACAACTGGAGCATGCTGAGGTGAGCACAGCCCTGCGGTACCTGGGCCAGTACTACTTCAAGAACAAGCTCTACGATGAGGCGTCCTTCTATGCTCAGCGCTGTTGTGACTACAACGATGTAAGCGTGCCTGCATAATCAGAGCACTGCTCTCTAGTTGATGTAATAGTACTAATACACTAACTTGTGTCTGTGCTCACTCTGCTTGTAGGCTCGCGAAGAGGGAAAGGCTCTGTTGAGGCAGATCTCACAGGTCAGAGATCAAATTGAGACGCCATCCGCAGATCTGTTCGCTCCACTCTCAAACAGCAACACTCCCGTCAGGAGGGTGTCTCCACTCAACCTCATCTCCTTCACACCCTGACACCCACCCTCCCATTTGCTGGCTTTAAAATGGACAATGTGTATCCTGTGATATGAAACTACTTAGGGGGGTTGACTTTGCCAAATGTCAGTGTTTTACAGGTCAGGATTTACTTATTGATGCGTAGAATTGTTAATTACATTAAACTGCATTTGTAAAGTTTGCAATCCTGATCTTTTTTTTTTATCTAGGATCAAACAGGTTTTTAAACAGTCCAAGCTCTTGTAATAAATTTTAAGACTGTTCACTGCAATGTGTAAATCAAGCAAATACACAAGGTTTTGGTAATTTTAATGCTAGGTCAGTGTAAAAACAAATCCTTCCGAGCAGAAACTCAAGGGACACCATCAGTGCTATGTATATGTAAATAGTTTAAATAAAGCATATCTGCTCTGCAAAGTCTGTTAGTAAATGTAGTTACAATGGAGAAGGGTAAATTTTTATAATGTGAAAAAGATGCATGTTCTCATGGATTTTGTGTATTTTATTAACAGAATACAGTAGAGGCAGAAAAGGTTAACACACATGCACTATTTTTAGTCTGTGACTATTAGCCACTGAGCAGCTTTACTGCTTAAGAGCACCTCAACTTCCCTAGTAGTATACTGCAAGCCCCATTTAAAGCATGATGACAGTGAGTTTCACTGCAAACGTGAATATATACACAAAAAAAAAATACTATAAAGTTAACAGCAAATAACTGTTTTGGCATAATATATTAAAAAAAAATGCACTCTCCCACTAAAGCTCCAAAGAGGTGCTCAGTACTTCCCACGGAGACTACGAGGGGTCAGCACAGGGCTGCGAGGTGGAGACTGCTGGCGAGACCGCAAGATCCGTGAGTAGGGGGTATGGTTTTCATCTTCAACGGCCCGACTGTTGTATTTACGCGCTGGGGTACGTGTCGAGAACAGAGACTGGAAAAGGGGGCGTTTTTGCGGAGGCCGGTTCTCAGTGTCACTTGCTGCAGCGGCCCCACAACCCCTCTTCTTGCAGGAACCTGGTGTGGTGGACACAGCAAAACCTGAGGGGGGTAGCTGGGGCTGGGCAGCCTGTGTCTGGGCCAGGGTCTCTGCTTTCCGCCTCAAGTCAGCTCTTACAAGCATCAGGCCATTCTGAAGCTCCACCAGGATCTGGTCCTAAGAAGAAGTCAGTCAACAGGGTTAGACAAGACCACAGAGGAGGAGGAAGTGGAGGTAAAGGATGGAGGTGGAAGGTTGAATGAAACAAAGAGAAAAAGTGTTCATGCACAGTAATCACTTGGTGCAGATGTTAGAAACCTAGATTTAGTTTAAAAGCTGGCAGTGCATCAAGATTGTTAGTGAAAAGAGTAGAGGGAGAGAAAAAAATGTATTTTAAATTACACTTTAAACAGATGCTGCTTGAAAATACTTATAATCATAGCTTCTCTAAAGTTGAATCATCAATAAGCAGCTAAAGTGAGAAAAGATATTACAGTCTACCTTGAAGTTGGGAAATTAATTTCAGAAGCATTTTTTGTTCTTTGTGGAAATTCTCTTTACAAACTGACAGCAATCAATTAATTAAATGCTCAATCATTTAAAAAAATGTAATAAGCCTGGCCGAATGAAATGGCTGTGGAGGGAAGCCTGAAGGGAGGTGGTTTTTTGCCAGACGTTGCCTACTCCAGCTTTAACTGAAATTGCACATGCAGGTGCTTACAGGTAAGCGTATGTTGGGGTCTTGATTTAGTTCAGTATTTTTTCAGCTGAGCTTCAGCTACTGTTGTCAGCAGTAGAGAGCAGAACTATTTTCACTTCCAATTGGAAACTGGTCTTATCCAATTAAAAACCATAATTGAAACTTATTACAGAAAAGCTCAGTTTATAAAATAATATAAATGACATTATACTGTACATGGCTATGGTTTTACCTGTTTGGCCAGTGTCTCATCTGCAGTCGTTAAAGCCTGGCGCAGCCTTTCCCCTCCTGTGTTGCGACAGCAGGCTCGTTCACCAGATTGCAGGTCCACCCCGAGCCTCTGCAGAGCCAGGCGTAGCTGACGCAAGTTCTGTTAGAAAAGTCGGAATTTTAGGCTTTCTGAGGGTATAGACACTCGCACGCAGCAAAAACAATGGTGCATTTCATATGACACAGCGGTAACTAACCCGCTGACCCTCCTCCAGCTTGCGATCCGCAGCGTTGGTGAAGGTGCCGGTTGAACCTGAGACATCCAGCTGGATCTTCAGCTTTGTCAGCTCTGCACAGGCAAGCAGAACAAGAGACAGTCACCTACCATTAACAATACGCTAACATCAACACATAATCAGAGCAGGGTTTCAGTCACCTTGTGTCTTGGTGAGCAGCTCAGCGCGACACTGGTTGAGCTCAGCATGCAGTCTGCCAAGTTCTGTCTGAGTAGTGAGGCGCTGAGAACGTCGAGGCCCCTCAGAGTCTCCCTGCGGCCCTGACACGGGGACCGATTCAGCTGCCTTATTTTTTTCAAGAGCAGCGGACAAAGCTTCAATCTCCTCATCACGCTCCTAAAAGAAAACAGATTAGATTCAAGTATCTTAGTACAGACAGCAACAGCAATACAAATATAACCCAGTTAAATTGGTGGATGCTCCTTGCACTTGTAGAAAGATCTCCTTTTACTAAATTGTAGATTGTATAGATTATGCCTGTACTGAAACCACACCATGGGGACAGACACTGCCTGAGAGTAATGCACACTTAAGCCTGATGATTTAGCTCTCACCTTCAGCTCCTGGCTGTAGAATTTCTTCAAATGTTTTTGCATGTTGGCTATCTTGTCTTCACACCTCTCTTCGATTAGAGCCCTCTCTGCCTCCAAGGTCTCACTATAGGGCAAAAAAGACGTCACAACTCAGTATCTGCATCAGACATTTCTTCTCATTTTAACTTCGAGGCCCTTTGGGTTTCACATCTAAAACATTGCTAGAAATGCTTTTACTACATGTCCTGTAGTAAATGCTGTCTGGTTAGTATTAGAAATATTTTGAGTTAAAGCACACACACACACCTGAAACCATCTTGCATCCTAGAGATGACCTCCATCATCTCAGAGACCACCTGCTCTCTCACATTTGCCTCAAGAACCTCCTTCTCTTCCCGCTGACGCTGCACCACTCTCTTCAGGACATCAATGGCCTGCAGCAAAGGCTTCATAAAGGAAAGTCAGCTGTTAGGAACACTGGAGAAGTTTGAGACATCTGAAATGCTGGTTAAAATAAATGACTAACATAATTAAGTTTATCTAAAGGGCATCATCTAGAGGTTTATGTAAATATGCAAAACACTCCCTCAGAAAGCTTTAATAGCAACATTTTCTGATTGCCTTATACATGAACATGGAACATGTTACCTCAGTATTTAACATGGTGATATCTCCTTCTTCATCATCACTCTCATCCTCTTCCTCTTCCATCACCGTGCTTTCATTACCATCTGCTGCTGGCTCACGCAATAGCGACAGGATGTATGCCACTCTGGTCTTTGTGGACGGGCCATGGACCAACTGAAATGATATGAAGGATCTTTTATTTCTCCTTTGGTTGAATCCCTCCATACAAAACTAAATCTGTCACTCTAAAAATCACAGAAATTGAATGTACAGTAAAAGAGCAGTGGTTTTTCTTTTTTTACTTGAGTAGCGATAGCTGAGAATTTGAGGGCTTGGAGGGTTTCGTCATAGATGGAGGCACATGGATTGATGTTGACCACCATGCTGGAGGTTCCTCGGCCACAGAAGTAACCCTGCAGAACCCGGGTCAGTTTACTATCCCTGAAGGGCACCACTTGAGGGGGTCGCGACCTGTGGATGTATTCAAAAAATTTTTTAGATTATAGGCTTTTCTTAAAACAGTTCAATCCAGTATCATAAAATAAAAAAAAATCTTCGTCTGTGAAGCATTAGGTAAAACTGCCTATGAAATGTGACGAGGCCTTCCTCCCGTTAAATGCTACAAAGGATATTGTCGTTGATTTTAGAAGTAAATCATCCAAACACCCATCTCAGACCTTCATTAAAAGGAGTTGGTGTTGAATTGACTGAACAGAATATCTTGAAATAGTCATTGATAGTGACCTGAAATTTAATGCTAAATTTTTTATTGAATCTGTTCTTACTTATTCTATGATCGCATGGCATGGTAACCTGAAGGTAATAGACTAACCTGACTGCTGTCTTTGACTAGCAGGTTCTCTGCAAGGCCAGGTCTAGATTAGAGTGCACAAAAATCCCAATTCATTCTGGGTTTGTTCCCTGTGCAATAACCCCGCTTAATTGTCTCAGGTAACCTGGCATTTTAGAGACTATTTTGTGTTTTTAGTGTACTGTATGTACTGGTCACATTTTTTGTTGTGTTTATCTGATTTTTGTATGTTTATCTTGTGCCCTGACTGCAAGCCAAGTTTCCTATTTGGGATAATAAAATGAACTAAAGTATATTAATAAAATTGCTTCGATATGGAATAATACTATAATTATCGCAGACGTTAACATACTTTAGAGAGGAACTAGGCATTAAAAGGTTATTCTTGACCTTAGAAACACAACTCAAAAGGCCTTACAAGTTTACTACAGGAGTTATGTACGAACATCACTACTTCCACATCAAACGTTTAAAAAGTGAACCAGTGGTGTGGCTTCATTCTAAGTTATGGTTTAACACGTACTTGTTGTTCTGGTTGTGCCTCAGAGCAGCAATACAGCGTCCCAGTGTTAAAAGGGAGGTGTTGATGTTGTTGGCCTCCTTCATCCTCTCACCATTACGCTGCTCTTTACAGCGTTCAGACCCAGCCAGATCACACACAGTCAGTCTAAAAAGAAGACAGCACAAGACACATCAATGTTTAATCACATTTACAAACTTAAAATATACCAAAATCAAAATTAACCAAAACTTAAAGTTAACATAGGTAACAGAAGGTTAACTTACTCGCTGATGTGCGTGGCCTGGCCTGACTCTTCCTCTGGGTGGACGTGCAGGACACGGATGGAGAAGATGCTGTGGCTGTGTAGGTGATACATTTATGATCAGAGATGCAACAAGTGTAAATCAAAATAAATCCAAGGAAAACAAGCCAAACATTTAATGTGCTCCTACCTTCGGCTGGAGTTTTGGTTGAGGTGAGTGCTGGCAAAGCTCTGGTTACGACGTCCAGCCCTCAGAACCCTCCAAGCTTCCTCAGCACTGCGGACCTGGATCCAGGTGAGGTCTGATGGAACACAAGGAAGTAGTAGAATAAATTAAAACTCTTGCAACCTACCACTGTACAGATTTTAAAGTAGTTCTAAAATAATTTTCATCATATATTGCACAGTGTTTCTTATAATGTGGTGTGGCACTTGCAACCAAATAGAACATCAAAAGATGGAAGGTAAAGTGCAGAAAGAAGTGGGGGGAATGAAAGAAACACCATTTCCTGCTTAATGAACTGTAACATATGTCAGATGGGAGAAGCTGGATACTGAGATTGATCTTCCGGAGGTTCAAACTCTAACTACTTAAACAGTTTAATGTTCTTGAAAGATTTTTCTGTGAATGAGTGAGTGTTACCTTTTACATAGGGGTTGCCCTGCTTGTCGTCACTAAGCCGTAGTGTGCCCCTTTTTCTGGGCTGCGAGGAGGGCGAAGCATCCAGCAGATCATACAGGAACTCATTGTAGATCTCATAGAAGGAGACCCAGATAGAAAACTGTACACCTTCCTCCAGATCATCTCCTCCACTGTGTGAAAGGCTGTCAGGCTCCAGACAAACACTGTCAGTGTCTGCAGAGACAGAGTTCAATGGCAGCTCTGATATTAATGTAATGGAGACAGGGCTCAGTTTAATAAGTATTCAGGATGTATACTACAAATGGAATTTAATTTGGAATAGGCAATAAGTGTTTGACGGCCTTTGAAAGTTTTGGAATATACTGCTGTCCAACGCAACACAAATACTGTCCTCCTCACCTTCAAGCTGGGTGGCAATGTTACTTGTAGAGGAGAGTCCTCCAACGCCGCTGTCCCAGATTGTAGTGGTACCACCGCGACGAGAAGTCAGATTCTCATCCTGCAACAGACAAAGAGTACACAAGAAGAATACACCAGCTCATATCTGTGTGCTAGAAGATAATCAAATTCTTGAGACGTGTGGCTATTCAGATCAGCCTCAATAATAAAAAAAATAAACCAAATATTTGCATGAAAGTTTACACAAAAGGTCCCATGAAATGGTCTTTGGTGACTGAAATTTTCTTCCACTGTTTGACGTATGACTTGTGCATGTAACAGGTCCTCTTTGAGTTCAGCTCATGATGAATGGGGGCAAAAACAAAAGTGTTGTGTTTATAATTTTGTTCAGTGTATGTCTGTATGTATAAAAAGGATAATTAGCCATTCCAACTCACATAATTAGATAGACACATGACAGTCCTTCCCTTTACTCAGACATTAACATACAATCTTTGTACACTACTTCGGTTAGAGTTATTTGCATTTAAGAGAGGCACGTGGAGCTACTTTTTAGCTGAGATACCATTTTAAATATAAAAGCACATACTTGGCAGCAATAGACACTGGGACACAGTGTAACAAGGAAATACATTTTTTTCATTTCATAAGACATCTAAAAGCTGTTTACCTCTTTGAGCAGAGAGTTTCTGCGGATTTCCTCCACCCTGACCTCATCAGGGTCAAGCTGCCTCACATCCTGATACATAACAGGCTTCAGGTTCATGGCAACATAGAGACGACCCTGCAGTTTCCTGAACAGAGAGGCTAAAGTCCGGGGCAAGAGGCCTGCCTCCCGACCACTGCCTGCAGGTCAAAGTTTGAGATTTAAGTTGTGCATTGTTGGCATTTAACTGACCATGTGAGTGTTTAATGCTATATCAGTGCCTACAACACACACATTCACAGAGCTGCACACACTAACGCCACAGTCAAACCTGTGCTTTAGACTGAAAAAAAAACAAATAAAACACCTTACCCTGAATAGTGTAGGTCTTTCCAGAATTGGTGACCCCATAAGTGTAGAGGAGTCTGTTTTCTCCTTGAAGCACGTCTTTCACCATTGTCTTCATTGTGCACTCATAAAACTGTTGCTGTGTGGTCTCTGGCCCAAAAATCTATAAAATATAGGTAAGGAAAAAACATCAGTATATAGCTTTTAAATTAGAAATATTCATAATGCAGCATCAATCAGTTGCTATGCACATTCATTACCAGCAATACATTTAACCATAGTAATAAACAACAAGTTAGGTGTGTTAAAGTGTGTCTCCTACCTTTGAGAAAGTGAACTTGTGCATGCTCTGGGTGATGCCCCTCTCTGCGGTCCTCATGTTCTGGGATTCTTTTGGAGCTTTGAGCAGCAGAGTCTCTTCATCTTGGATAGCCACACAACCCTAAAATAAGAGTGAAACTTCAGTAGTGTGCAGGTGCACTAAAAGCAATAAAAAAATAAAATAAAACACACCTACAGAAGTGCTGATTAGAGCCTGACTGATAAACCAGCGTGCCGATATGAGGTAAATGCAGATAAATCAGTGTCAGTGTTTATAACAGCCGATAAATTACGAAATGACAAAAAATAAAGGGAGAGAGGGAGCCTTCATCGTGAGTGTTGTCATTGCACAGTTTGTCCAACAAACGGCACTATGAAACTCCCCTGTTGGCAATCCAACACAAAACACTGCAATCAGCTGACATAATAAACTGTACTTTTGCAAAAGTACCATTTAGAACAATTTAAAATGGGTCACATTATCTTGGCGAGGTCTCATAAGTACACATAAGAAATGATAGGGATAATCTTTGTTGATGTACAATATGTGTTTCTGAAAAGAAGAAAAATATCAGCCGATATATCGGATTTTAAAATCTGTAAAATCAGTATTGGTCGGCCTCTGCTACTAATGGGTTCATAGTCTTACCTGTTCCTCTCCCATATCTCTCTCCGTCTTAATAAGTGGCCGGATGCGCAAAAAAACCTTCACCCTCTCTGTGTTCCCTTCATCTCGGCTTTCTTGTCTCACCAAGGCAGGTTTTGCTGCTAGTTTCTGCTAGAGACCCAAATGAAAAACATCGTTAATGTACTGTTACTGACATAGAAGCCAGTAAATGGGAGGAAGAAAACAGCCAGTCAATTTTAATAAATGTTTTAAAGAGGTTGTTTGCAAATGTTTTATGGGGTAGGAAATGCATTCGTGCTGCATTCATGTTTCATTCCACCTTAGGGATGCACATGTTTTGGTGAGAAATGCTGAATGTTAATAAAACCTAATTTATTGTTTATAATGATTCTCCTGTCGACTCACTGGTTCTGTAATGGGTGGCGGCGTGGCCAGGCCAGGGGAAATGACAGAAATCTCAGGGAGACGTGGTCTGGCCAGGCCTCCGTGCTCTGCTGCCGTAGACTCAAACACAGGCATTTCCTCGTCCTCATCGTAGGGGCTTCCACACGGGGAGGACAAAGACAGCGCCATGCTTACCTGTTACAGGAAGATACATCTGCATGAGTATGAAGGAATTGCAACACATTTCAAAACTGGCTGTAAGCCAGGAAATTAATGAAAAGGTCACCTCGTAATGTCCCTTTCCATAAAGCTATAGGATCTATAAATATACAACATTTTAGAAATTAATACATAAACGCTTTTTAGAGGTCAATGAGACCCATCTCAGATACGGTCACACACGTGTGCCGTCTTCAGGCAGCAGCTCACTGTCAGGAAACGACTAGTTAAAATACGGGTGTGTTGTGGGACAACGTGACCTAGGTGAACGGGAAAATGTGTGAAACCTGCATTTCCCTTCAAAGCCAAACAATAGCTCCAAGAGTAGTCTAACAGGAAAACAATTCCCCGGGCTATAATCTGGCCTGACCAGTATAACTGCAGAAAAGTTCCATCAATAAATAAAATTCAAAAAATGCTTCTGACAGCACTGGGCTTCTCTAGTGTTTAACCATGCCTTCATAAGCCAGTGGGATGAAAAAGGTAATAGTTAATAGGGCTGAACTTCACTTTGAAATGCACCACTGACAGCCAAACAAAACTAGAGCAGTTAAGAGGAACTACACATACACAGTTTTCTTCCCCCACTGTACACATAATCACACAGATTCTTGTTGTCATATGAACAGATGATTCAACCATAAGTCACTTCGGTCAGAGAGCAGTGGTCGCGTCACACACTACTTAGCCACGAGACCACGCCCCCTACAAACATTTTCCTCTGTTGCATTTTCAATGCAAGTTCTTATGCTAAGCTGAATATGAGGATGTATTTGCCATTTGGACAAACCTACGTTAAGTTACTGAATAAATAAACTTTTGATGTATTTTCAGAAATCATGACGAAGCCACATTATTTAGTCGAAATGTTTAACTTTAAGGTTGTTCTGTGTATCGTTGGCAGACATAACACTTTCAAGGGTGAATTCACAGAGGCGGTTACATTTGAATAATTTTTTTTTATGAAACAAGACGTGAATGGCCTTAACGGTAACGTTCTTAGATATTGTGTAGTATGTCAGGACATTGTTTTCAAGGTAACAATGGCAACTTGTAACTCTGTTACGTTCAGGCTGTCCCTCAGTCCCCCAGGAACCTAACCTAATATGCTAACGTTAACTAGAGAATAACATTAACGTTACCCAACTAACGTTAACCTCATATGCTCTACGGTTTAGCGTAACGTTAACATAACGTTAGTTAACTCAATCTTCAACCAAGTCCAGTTGCCTTTGACTTTAACCTTCTTTGGATAGTTAATCAACTTTACAAAGACGGCTCATTTTCATTAATATTAGCTAACTTGAATTTGAATTAAAACCCGTTTCAACACGAGTTGAGTGCGTGAATACACAAGTTAACGTTACTGTTATTAACTGAACGTGCTCACGAAGCTGTGTCCTTGTTTGGAAGTTTTGAAAATGACTTCCACCAAACAAAATCTCAAGAATGCACATGTTGTTGCTGTTGGTTATCTGGATAAAAACCTTTAACGTTATTAACGTCAGTTCAGGCAACATTTATAATTACAGCTGTAATGACTAACCGGTTTAACGTTTACGATACAATTATTTAACGTTAACGTTAGCATTGAATGATCCACCTTTAATCAAAGATAATTTAACTTACGTTGAAAGTGCGATGAACGCCCGGTTTCCAGGAGCTAACTTTAAATCTTCTTACGTGAGTAAAACACCAAAACCCAACCTAGAGGTAACGTTATTGGATTAAAATCGTATCACATAGAGCTAACGTTACCTGAAAGGGACTAACACTTGCCTACCTCTGAACCCCAGCTCGGTTAATTTACCCGTTTCGTTTTTGAACAATGCGCTTTCTTGCAGAGCGAGTCACTGATTGGCTGAAGCTAGTGACGTTGCGCTTAACAGCAATATTAGTGTTTGACCAACAGATGTCGCCATTTTGACTTTATCGTATAAATCACATTTATTCTTTCAGGATAAAGCCCTTGAGATTAATCATCTATTTTTAAAGGTCTTAAAATGAAATGCTTCTAAACAGTGAACCGTTTTCTACACAGTCGCTTCATAGTGATTCAGAACTTCGTGACGCTTCGTTTCCTTCATCACAAGCTAAAGCGCCCATGGTGCGTTATGTGAACTGTGCCTCCTTTAAACAAACATTCCTGTCATGAGTTTCTATCACGTGTTGTTAATAAAGGTGACATTTTACCGATACATGTCTCACAGTGGATTTAAAGGGACTTGAAAGAAACAAAGAAAGAAAGAAGGGGACAACTTGGTAAAGAAAATAGGAGGACACGATTATTTTGAATGCAAAGTAGAAAGGAAAACAGGAGGCAGAAAATGGAAAGTTGTTTATTTCACGTGCATATTACAAAAAATGTTGACAGAAAATTTTACATGATAATAGAAAGTTATAATATAAATACATTAAACACTGTTTAATAGCTGATTAAGCTACATCGGGAGTTGGGTGCAGTGGGAAAACTGTCACTGCCACAACATTGTCACTAGCAATATAATACATAGCCTACATGAAAATATGAAACAGCTAAACTGCATAAAAGTGATGTAACTGTGAGTAAAGGAGCAGGAGATACTGGCCAAATTTGCTTGGCTTGATGATTTGCCCACTAAATGTTTGTATCAGTAAATCAATCATGTCACATCATTTAAACATTCAAATCTTGTTCAGGTTCAAAGTTTTGCTCCATAGCGGTGGTGATGCTGTGAATCCTGACCTGGTTGTGTGAATTTCGAAGCCTTTGTTTCTGCACACTGTGCTGAACACCATAACAGAAGTAGATGATTAAACCTGTGTACAGAAAAGTGAGACCACATAATGGCCATGCTTGTTTATTTGATGTTAGTGCAACATTTAGTTTAAATATAAACGTGTATTTCATAGTGCCATTCTTGACACACCTACTGCCATCCACACTGCATAGCGGATCCATGTGTCTGATCCAAGTTGAACCATCAGATAGACATTGACAGAGGTGCTGAAAATAGGAAGCAACGGCACAAAAGGAACCTATGTATATAAAAAAGCAGTAACATTATGACAGGCAATATCAAAGACAAAAATACTCAGTTTTCCTGATTTGAACTTAACATTTGCAAGAAAAAAAGAATTGTTACTGGTTGGCTATTCTATTTATTCTATTAGGAGTGATTTCCTAGACTTAGCAATTCAAGTTTATAATTTCAGTAATGATGCTTCACTGGCTGAAATAAATATTAAATTGTATCATTACAAGTGCTCCCAGAAAACCAGCACTAGACGAGGCATACCATAAAAGCAGCTTTGGTTGTACTCTGTGGTTGTCTCCAGATGATCAGGGTAATGAGGACCAGCATCACCGCGACCACTGAGACACAAAGTAAACTCCACCACTCAAGGGCCTGCAGGGAGTCTACAGCCCCAGATATGACGATGCTGAGGATGATAGCTAAAAAGACTAAAGAGAACAATGTAAGTTCAAATGATTATTAACAATGGAATCAGCTTTATACAGTATACAATTCAAGAATGATGTTAAGACGATCACTTACTAATAAAAACTGTTAAAACAGACACATTTTTTGATGTCCGCGTGGTGGCTTGTGAAGGAGGACATAATACTTCAGTAACTGTAAAGGGCTCTGGTTTGCTGAAACTTGAATCCTCGTTGAGGTCTGCTTGGTACCTGTGGAAGTGAGGAATAATAAATAAATGCACCTAAGAATTGTGTTAGCATTTATTTCTATATGTGGATATAGCTGTAACTTAAACACGGAGGTTCAATGGGTTTTATTCTTTCTTAGTTTTTATCCTGGTTCACATCAGTTTAATCCCTGTATGTAATTCAGTGTGTGTACTATTAATTATCTTATATAACAATCTTTTGTCAGACACTGAACTTGCATTTTTAATGTAGAGACTACACAGTGTCTGCCGGCTGTTATAATAGCAGTTGATCAAAGTGTACTATAAGCTCGTTGACCAATACATTTTGACAATAGCACATAGACAGTTTCAGTTTCAAACATACTGTAATCTAAAATTACAGCGATTGTTATTTTCCAACCCTGACTTTCAGACAAAGTCTAGGCATTGAGTTTCACATACAGGTGTTTCACCTACATGTGCTGTATAGCCCTGCCATGTTTTTCCCACCACAACACCAACACCACCCACAAAAATAAGCTTTCTCACAAACATAGTAACTACTAAGATTAGAGTAGTAATGTTTTCGTACTGATGAATCATACCTTAATATGAGGATACATATGGCAACGAGTGTGTAGGCAAAGAGGGTTCCAATTGACATCATTTCAACCAGTGCCTTCAGATCAAACAACAATGCCATGATAGCTGAAAAGATATGAATAATAATATTAAGAATTTCTATAAACTTTAATAATTTGATTTTACACTAATTTCAAAAAATCATATTTCACCTGTGGTTGGTCAGCAATTTTTAATAAAAAATTTGACGCTCAAAATGTATGTAACATATGGTGATGAGCAATTCAGACATTGTTTTTGTAAATATCTTTTACTTTATGAACTCATTACTTTTCTTATCAGTAAAAGTCATCCAACTGTAACTTCCGGAGAACATATAAGCTTGCAGATTTGTTCTGGACAAGGCAAACATCTCATGACTGGGATCCCACAGAAAATGTCTTGACAGTTTGACACAGGTTGTGTGCTTGAACTCAGGAGCTCAGTCAACACTGCATATTTACTCAGCTCTGTACTGTACAGCTTGACAAGACCCAGCTGAAACCTTTGCCAAATATTGGCAAAGCTATGAGCATGAGGGTGAACACCTAAGGTGGGAACAGGAGGGAATTTCTGTAATAAAAACTCTACTAAAAAAAAATAGAATAAAAATACAGAAAAAAAGACTATTATGAACTGAATTGGTCGTTTTACCTGCAACAACTCCTGAAGCCAGGGTTGCTATGACAGGAATTTGTCTTTCACTCATTTTACTGAGGGGTCTGAAGAGAAGTCCGTCCCTGGCCATGGCAAAGAGAACACGGGGCATCGGGAACATTGATCCTAGTAGGCTGTGGGGGAAAAACTCAAATGACTCATCAATAACCATTTAGTTATTCGTGTTATTTGCTTCTGTTTTAATCTGTAATTGTGAATGAAAGGATTTGCAGAGTTTGTAAATGGCACACTGTATTTCATACCTTGTTGACAGTGCACAGAGTGATCCCACAGCCACTATATACTTTGCAGGGCCCCAACCAATGTATGTAAAGGCCACAGGCAACGGGCTGTGAACACTGAGCAAATAGTATGGCATCATAAGAGTCAGGGCAGCAGACACACCAAAATAAGCCAGGAAGCAGATGAGGAGGGACGCCACAATGCCGAGTGGGATCGACTTCTGAGGATTTTGAACCTCCTCTCCTGAAGAAAAACACATTTTATTTTATAGTAACTTATTGTCTTTTATATTGTGCTATGCCACTGCATCCTCTTTCAGTCTCGCAGTGTACTTTAATGTGTTAATGAATTTACCTGTTGTGGCTATGCAGTCAAATCCGACAAATGCATAAAAGCAAGTGGCCGCTCCTGCTAATGTTCCCTCAAAGCCAAAAGGGAAAAATCCTCCACTGCCATACCTGGCGGTTTCATTCAGTGACGTGCAGTTTCTGTAAAGAATAGACACGTTGATGCTTGGTCATTCAACAACAATCAACAAACTGATTGATAACTACGTATTTCAAACCCACATTTAGCTGCAAAGGTCACCTAAAATATGTGTTATTGACAGCAGCTGCCTGAAAAACACCATTTTTTTTTCTTAAAGGTACATTATATATAAAAAAAATGAGAACCAATACTCATATCCATCCTGGAGAGAATCTTCACCAATGTACCAGTTGTTGATGTCACCCTTAATGACTCCAGAGAGGACAACAAACAGCAATACCACGATGTTAACTGCTGTAAAAACCTTATTTACAATAGCTGACTCTTTAACACCAAATGCAAGAATCCCTAGAAAGGAAACACACAAAAAATATAAAATTGATTATGACTATGAACACAACAGAACCTTGTTTATAAAAAGATATTCAATATGCATAAGTAAAACATAAAAAAGTGTCTTGGTATGAAGTCTCAGGGGTTTAGCTAATGAAACTTGCCTGCCAAGAGCATTATGAGGCCGGCTGCAAAGAAGTCTGGGAAGGGAGCTAATCCAGATAAATTCATAGCAGCCTGTTTGCCCAGAGAGTTGGCAATTACATTTCCAATGAGATCATCAAAGGTGCCACTCCATGCTCTGGCAACACTTGATGTCCCTTAAAATCAGAAAACAAGGAGATAGAACACAACCATCTTTTCCAACCCAACTTTATATTTGAGGCTCATAATATCAAGACAAGGTTTAAGAGCACAGAAGTATTCACCGAAGAGACTTTTCCAACATGACAATTACACATCCATCACATACAGGAAATGTATTCAGAGCGGAACTATCTTTACCTATGACATAAGACAGCAACAAGTTCCAGCCGGTGATAAAAGCCCATATCTCTCCCACAGTCACATAGCTGTAGAGATAGGCAGAGCCAGTCTTGGGAACCCGAGCTCCAAATTCAGCATAGCAAAGCCCTGCAAAGATGGAGGCCACTGCTGCTATCAGGAAGGCGATTATGATACTGGGCCCGGCTACGGCTCTGGCCACCTCTCCTGACAGCACATACACACCAGCCCCTAGTGTGCTGCCGACCCCCAGAGCCACTAAGTCGAGGGTGGTCAGGCATCGCCGAAAGTTGGACTCTTCTCCGTCAGGTGCCAGAGGTTTCCTACGCGACAGGCTCTGCAGAAATAGCAGTATCTTTGCACCAGACATCCTATTAATCAAGACATTTTGTGGTAATTTGTTGATTCAAGACAAAGCAACACAACAATAGCAATAACACATACCTGCAGTGTAGATTTAAGACAGCTAATAGACAAGCCAGAATGTGTCTAGGTGAATAGTATTTTTAACAACTGGACAGTTTGTGATTTTAAATAAACATTCAGCATACTGTTCCAAAAATAACATGCAACCACTCACATTTTCTTGTCAAAGGAGGGAAACATTTTCTCTTGAAAATGTAAAATGGAAGTACATTTTTAATTTAAATGCTCCCATTCAAAATATGAGACACAAATAAACTAATCTATAATTTAAATGTTGTCCTAGTGTGTAGCATTTTTCTCATTTTAGTCCATTTTATCTGCATTGCAGAAATCTTGAATCAGCTATTGAATAAATCAATGTTGCAATAGTTTGAAACTGTAAAATGATCTGTGTGTGAGCGACACACATGTTAAAGTAACTACATATTGATAAAATCACCAGTGATTTCACTGTTTGTGCTGTAAAATTGATGCAAGGCAGGTGGTCTTTTAGCCTTGCAATCACTAAGAAATGAACACCTTGTACATCACTTTCAATAAGCTCTTGTTGAACTTTTAGAGTGTGCGTTCCACACTAAGTGGTTTTCACTTGCTCACACAGTCAAGATATGCGTTAAGTTATACTCATCCATGTCAGACAGAGATTATTGATGGTAATCAGTTCATATGTCATCGGAAATTAAACAAGAAAGATTCATTACAGTATTATTTTACTGTTTAAGTGATGTATGGATGATTCCTCACTGGCTAAATCGTCAGCTAATAACTTTTTATTTAAAAAATGATGCAGACTTTCAAAACTATGTTAGCAAACAAACTGCGATCATATCCAGTAGATTATGTACGCATCGTTATAAGAAAGACTTCCTTACCTGTTCTGCTGAAGTTGCAGCGTATGTGACTGTGTTTTGATCTGCACCAGACCACACTATTTGTGAGGATAAATCCATTCGCTCTTCACAACTCAACATTTTTGACACATAATGTTACATTTCAGACTTACGTGCCATTTTTGAAAAAGACAAGAGCAGAATGATTTCTTTGAGAACATTTCAGGCATGAAAAAACAGTAAGATACATTTTATAGAGGTGTTTCTTATGTGTGTAGATGATATGACGGAGGCCCAAATTCTGCTTTCATGCCTTTAAATTGTGGGTAATCTCTGACAGAAGACTCCTGTATGAATTTTCAAATTAATCATTTATAATTCATAATTTCTATAAGAAAACACAAAAATAATATTTATATAATATATAATATGATATATATAATAATATAATATCATTGTAATAATTATAATACCATGATTGACATTTAAAATAAACCAAAAATTTCATTTGATATTTTATTTTTGAATTCAACCCAAATCTTTGCACAAAATGACCACATTAATAACATTTAATTTAAATACTCTGAACTGCTGAGAACAGTAAGTAAAGCTTTCGCTTGGCTTTCATTAATTAAACCAATTAAAATGATACCCTGTGTACCTGTATATACTACAGTGTGATTTATTTGGTGTGTTTTACACCAAATAAATCACAGGTTACACTCTAACTTGGCTTAATGCAAAAACATGTTTACTAACTCATTGCAATTAATTTCAAGTTAAAACGGTTTGGACATTTTCAGTTACCTTTTGTTTTAATTTATTCAATTCTGGGCTGAAAACAACCAAGTTATAATTTTCAGTTAATTGCACTTTCTTTGCAATAAACTGAAATTGCAAGATCTTCTAAAGTCCTCTGTCACCTTGTCCAACTTCTCCCTCTGTTAGTTTTTCTCAACTAAAAGAATATCCCTTTACTATATTTAGAGACTTCTCTAAATAAAGAGAAGTCTCATGATTTGTTTCAGTTAAAATTATAAAAACTTTACAAAAAATGGCAATACCGCAGCTACAACATTTTACTGTAATTTAATACATAAAACAAATCCTTGTTCTAAATCTTGATTATATGTGTTTGATATTTGGTCTCATCCCCCACATGAGGGTTGTGTTATCAGATCAGCAAATGCATGTTCTGAAAACATTTCAGGGTTTCTGAATCTCCTGATGCTGATCAAACAGCTCTACCATATTATGATCAATATGAGATTAAACGTAATTAAATTTTTAACTGATGGAGAGGGGGACAGCTTTCTTCCATCCTCGACCTTTAAGATGGCCCATGTGCCTGATGTCTCGTGGACACGACGTTGGGTTGAGTCACAGATGAGTCAACATGTTGTAAACTGAAATTGTTTTCACTGGAGACATCTGCTCAGCAACAAAATTGAAGACTTGTTCATCAGAGCATAAGGAGACAAGTAATTGTTTGAGGAACACAGTGGTACGATCCATTGCTTCTAGGGGTTGCTGGTATCACCCTGCAGCTCTTCTGGCAAAATGCAATGAGAGATTAAAGCTGCCTGGAAAACTGATCACTGGTCACATGCAGACACGGGTGCCAAAGACAACAGCGCATATGACAGTGAGATTTTTATTTGTTGTGGGTAAATTGCACTCTAGCACTTCAGACTTAATCTGACATGTGTTTGTAGTATACCATCATAAAACGTGCATGAAAAAATATTTGTTTCATTTGTAGCAATACAGACACAAGCATCATGTTAAACACCTTGAAATACACATTAATTGAAGGCTGTAGACAAATACAACCTTAACAATATTATAGTTAGTAGTGTATGTAGCTAGTTTGCACCATTGCATTCCTGCAGTGTTGCTACAAATTAAAGTAACCTTCCCAACTCTTTCTCTGCCACTTTAGGTTGGGATGACTTTGGTTCAGAAGGAGTGAACAGTGAGTAGACTTTAGTTAGTAGACATTAGCTAAAGGAAATGGACTACCCCTCTCTCTGTTAATGATTGATCTGCAGAAAGAGGTTCAGGAGCTAACACCATTGTGAATTCATTCAGCACCCTGGATATTTTGAGGAAAAGGCCTTATAATTGGCGTATACCTGCAGATGAACTGTCTCAAGTTTATTTAAATCACTCTAAGGAGTTCAGTAAGTTTGATTCTGTGTTATTTGCATGTTTGAGTTTTAATTGTTTTTTTTCTTTGGGAGTTAAAAAGCACTAAAGAACTGTTTTATAGAATTCAGCCGTACAGCTTAACTTTTGATTACGGGCCATCAGTAATGAAAAACAGTTGATAACATTACTTTGCTGATTTACCTTACAGGAAATATATTATGTTTTCAATCAGACAGGTAGGGATTGTGTGAATTGTAATTTTGATGTTTTTTTAAGTGTTATTTCTCAAAAACAAGTCCTCAGGGACATTGGATACTAACATTGGACCCTAGATAATTATTTGATCATATTCTACAATATTGCAATATTTTGCTGGAAACTAATATTTTAAAGCAAAATTTGATTTCCATTCAAGTAATGACAATAAGAAATTAAAATAGATATTATATGGTGCAGATCTTCTCTCAATAAGTGTTAGTCTAGCAAACACCAGCTTGTACAGCCGTTAGTTACTTCATTATCACAGCTCTGCCCCAGCATTTTTCCAGCAGTATTAGCCAGATGCAGCAAGCTTCTCTCCATGGTGACTGGGTTCACTGGCTGGAGCATGAGGCCGAGCATTTGCAGGAAGGAGGGTCATTAGAGTGTGACTTCAGTCTCAGCTAATGTAAATCCTATGTCTATTTCGGTTCAGGTAGATATTTCAAGCAACGTGACAACAATGTTACTGAGGTGTGAAATGTTAAAATGAATCTCCTCTTAGAAATATAACTACCGAGGTCAACCCGTTAAGAATCCCAAAACTCTTAAAAGGCTTAAGTAACTGCGTAGTCCTCCTGGACTAGGTAATAACAGCCTTAGGCCATGTTGGCCTCTAACACCTTTCTCGCCCTCTGTCACTGTTTATATGGGAAATGGAGCTCAGTGATTAGAGTTTGTTGGATGGAATCGCACACTGCTACAGCACAAGATTTATGTTAATATCTTGTTGAGTTATCAGGAAAAGGTAACGCATTTCACTGCTGCTGATTATTTTTCACCAAAACAAGGTTTCCTTTTGTGGATGCATGTTTATTTTATAGACAACACAATTATATTAAACATATTATCTGATTGTAGCCAATGCTCTCAAACAAAAGCATAACATGTGTTTCCCTTTTTTCTACAGTCATACACTCTTATCAATGCAAACATGATAAACACAAAACAGCGCAGCAGGCAGCTCGACGGGAGAAGATAATATTGAATGTACCTTCACTCTGGGGAGTTGTAGAAATAAATCCTACCCATTACACAGACAGGAAAGATGAGACTGATTCTGTACTACATGATACTGCTGGGGTCTAGTTATGTCATTTCAACTTATGGGCCCCATCAAAGAGCACAGATGACTGGAGATATTTTACTCGGAGGACTTTTCCCCATACACTTTGGTGTTGCCTCCAAAGACCAAGACCTCGCAGCCCGGCCCGAATCCACAAAGTGTGTCAGGTAAAATTTGAGACTGGTTTTGAAGGCTAGCTCGAATCCATAAATGATTTGACTGATTAAATGAGCTCAACTCATCTAATTCCATACCGCGTTTGCTTTTACAGGTTCAATTTCCGTGGTTTCCGTTGGCTCCAGGCCATGATTTTTGCCATTGATGAGATAAACAACAGCAGTACTCTCCTGCCCAACATCACCCTGGGCTACAGGATCTTTGACACATGCAACACAGTGTCAAAAGCCCTGGAAGCTACTCTTAGTTTTGTGGCCCAAAATAAGATTGACTCCCTGAATTTAGATGAATTTTGTAACTGCACCGATCACATCCCTGCAACCATTGCAGTAGTTGGAGCAGCTGGTTCTGCAGTCTCCACAGCAGTTGCAAACCTACTGGGTCTTTTTTATATTCCTCAGGTGAGTGGCCACATCAGTACCACATCAATGCTCCACATTAGTAGTTGAAATAGTATTGTGT